GGCTGAGAGAGCGTGAGAGTGAGGTCCTGGACACGGTGGTTTAGGAGTCAGAGAGAGGCCAGTCTCCCTGGGCTTGTGCACCCTGTGGTTGAGCTGGTCTTCTGCCCTCGCAGGCTAGGCAGGCTTCGGAGAGGAGGATGCAGAGATGCTTCCTCCTGGCTCCTCACCTGGATGCTGGCTCTGTGAGGGCCCTGGCTGCACCTCCAGCTCTTCAGCTTCTTCCACCATACCCTTGCACTAACCTTACTCCAGTGAGTGGAAAACAAAGAGAGATGTCACACCTAAGGGGGCCCAGCACCCAGAGGGAGGAAGAATAAGTACAGTCATTAGACCAGACCTAAATGAAGTAGGAAACAGGTGGGTCTTGAGTGAAAAATAATTAGGGCATGTTATAGACTGAATGTGGCCCCCGCCCCCACCAAATTCATGTCTGAAGCTCTAACCTCAGTGTGATGGTATTTAGAGGTGGGGCCTTTGAGCAGTAACTAGGTTTAAGATGAGATCATGAGTGTGGGGCCCTTATGGGATTAGTGCTCTTATAAGAAGAAGTAGAGCTCTTTTTCTGGCATGTGAGGACCCAGTGAGAAGGTAACTGTCAGGAAGCCAGGAAGAGAGCCCTCATAGTACATGCTGGCACCCAGATCTCAGACTTCCTAGTCTTCAGAACTGCAAAAAAATAAATATTTATTGTTTATTTATAAGTTACTCAGTGTGTATTATTTATAAGGTATTTTGTTATAACAGCCCCAATTGAGTAAGAAGACAGAGATGAAGGAGATCTGAATACAACATAAAATTTCTTCCTTGAACTTAAATTTGTAAAAGTCAGTAGAGACACAGATATTGGTTTTATGAATTTAATTAGTTGCCTATGAGGAAAAGTAGATGAAGTGCTGAAAAATCAGTGCCAGACACAAGGAGAGAGAGATCATGAGGGGGAAGATACAAGACTTGAAGGACGGATCCAGGACAGCCAGCATGTGAATAATAGGAATTGCAGAATGAGACAAAAAGCAGAGGGAGAAAAAACAATAATAGAAGAAGAATGTTTACCTGAGTTGAAGGTAAATCTGAGACTACAAACTGAAATGTTCAATGAGTTCTAGGTAGAAATGAATTTTTTAAAAAATCCACAGTTTTTGGGCTCCCAATGCAGGGGACCCGGGTTCGATCCCTGACCAGGGAACTAGATCCCACTTGCTGCAAGTGAAAGTTCACATGCTGTAACTGAAAAAGCCCACATGCTGCAACTAAAGACCCTGCACAGCCAAATAAATAAATAAATATTTAAAAAATAAATAAATAAATAAAAATCCACAGTTTTTTTCCTGATAAAAATCCTCAACTCCGAAGATGAAAAACGAGCATCTAGGCATAAGGAGCCAAGGTACTTTTAGGGAAAGAAGCATTAGACTTCCTGTCAGCTTCACAGTTCACCAGGAGGAAAGGCATTCATGTCAAGAATTTCATACCCTTTCAGTTTATCACCCATCCTTCCCCACGAGGGAGGAAGAGGACAGACGCAGCAGGGACCCAGAGGGTCTTTCATCCAAGTGTCTGGTCTAAGGACAATGTTGGAGGAGGGACTCTAACCAAAACACAGTGATGGTGCCCAGAGATCCTCAGATGGGGGGAAAGAAAAGGAGAAACACAAAAGATAATTGGCGATCTTTAGAATAAGACCTGTCATTTCTAATGAGAACTAAATGTATAGCACAGGGGACTCCACTCAGTGCTCTGTGGTGTGGCTGATTCATCTTGCTGTATAGCAGAAACTAACACTGTAAAGCAACTATACTCAAAAAACCCCAAAACCCTATCATTTCATGTCAGTGGATATCGATAAATTTAACAGAAGCCTTAAAAAGAGAAAGAAGAAGAAAAAAAAGATAATAAAGAAGGGCCATTCAAGCAAAATTCTAATTGTATCGCAACTACAAGTACTGAATTATTTTAGCAAAGAATGGTTGGTGTGGGGTGGAACAAGAGGGGACAAAAGTAAGAATCCTTCCACATAAGTCATCCTGGGTGAAGGGTGAAGGAGGGTGGGTGTGCCTTATGTGGAGGAGAGCAGTGTTGTGCAGGGAAGGAGCCAGGAGTAGGTACAGATATGGTTACAAAGGTTGGGAAAGGTGAGCTGAGCCATTCATGACCATCAGTGGCCAGGGACACTCCCCAGATAACAAGGGGAGAAAAGGTAATGCATGGTAACTTGATTAAACCAGGCCAAACAGGGGAAAGGAGAAAGGAAACAACAGCAAAAAGCAACATAAATTGTAAATATAAAGTGAGATGTAACACTAAGGTCCTGCTGTATAGCACAGGGAACTATATTCAATATCCTATGATAAGCCATAATGGGAAAGAACATGACAATGTTATATATATGTATATGTATGTATTAATATGTATATATGCATGTTTGTATAACTGAGTCACTTTGCTGTGCAACAGAAATTAATGTAACATTGTAAATCAACTACAATTTTTTTTTTTTTAAAGTGAGATGGAGGGACAAACAAAAATAGAAAGCAGCATAACGTCATGATTGAGAGCACAGTCAGTGGAGCCAGACTGCTGGTGCCAATCCCAGCTCCCTCATGTATTGACTGTGGCTTTGGGCAAGTTACTTGACCACTTAGAGATTTCATCATCTGTGAAATGAGAATAATAACAGTCCCTCCTTCCGAGGGTGTTGTGAAGATTAAACGAGTTAACATACCTACAGCACTTAGAACAGTGCCTAGTGTAATTAGACCAAGCAAGTATTTGCTTTATTATTTATCAAGTATAGTAGCAATTTTAACATTAGGTAAGATGAAGCAATATTACATACCTAAATCAGATGAGGAAGGTTGTTATATAATGGCCATGGCCACTTTGATCTTCAGTCTGTATGTGCCAAATAAAATGGCAGCTAAATAAAGTAAACGGCATTACAAATGAAAGGAGAACTTGAGGAAGACATTTCACAGTGAGAGAATTCAAGATCTAGTAGGCAAAAACAGATAAGATTTAGAGAAAATGAATAATGAGTACTTTCTTGGTGGTCCACTGGCTAAGACTACTCTGTGCTCCCAGTGCAGGGGGCCTGGGTTCCATCCCTGATCAAGGAATCAGATCCCACAAGCTGCAACCAAAAGTTCACATGCTGCAACAAAGACCAGGTGCAGCCACAGAAATAAAAACTTTAAAACAAGAAAAGAGAATGAGTAATGGAATCAGGAAACTCAGTTTAATATGCAATATTGAAACTTTTCTTCTTTGAGTAGTTTTTTTTGCCTAGAACTTTTGAAAAATCAGTTATATGTGACAAAGAAAATTTTAATACATTAAAAAATTAGTTATATTACAGACCATAATTTTGATCATAAACTAATACAATTAGAAATAAATAATAAAAGTGATGAAAAGAAAACTTGAAAATGAAGAAATTCTAAGTAATTCTAAAGGTACTTAGATATCCTTAGACCAAAGAGGAATTCAAAACTGAAATTAAAAGAGTAAAAACACTTTACACCCAAACTATGCACACAGCAAATGCTATACTAAAGGGAAAATATCTTCATTATTAGGGAAGAAATAGTTAAAGGAATGTGGTGCTCATCTTTTAAAATTTAAAACCAAAAGTTAAAAAAGAAAGCTAAAGAGAATTCATAAATACTTAGGCTGACATCAGACAAATCGGAAATTTTTTAAAAAATGACTGAAAGGGGAAGGATACTCTGAGAAGTCAAAAGCTTTCTCTGGAAAGACAGAAAGAGAGTGGTTAGTGGGGCAGGGAATGTGGAGGACAGAATGTGGGGAGTGGAGGAGGGAAGGGAAAGAAAGGGATGAGCAAAAGGATAATGAAATGTTCAGAGAAACATCTGATAGAGACTTTTGCTTTTGAGGGATCTCCTGTTCCCTCAGATCCAAGTTTTCTTGTCTGTCTCTCTTTAGTGCTTCAGTCTCAGATTCTTTGCTGGTTTGGCAGGCAGCATTGCAGCATGGTTGGGAGCATGGATTCTGGAGCCAGGAGGCCTGGGCCAGTCCCAGCTAGCCACTTGCTCTCCAGATGTATCAGTTCAGCTCACTTCCTGGTGGATAGCACGGGGATCCTGAGGGTACCTCCCTCATAATTCTGTGTGGATTTGTGCATATCAGCATGTAGTGCAGCCCCAGGCTCCTCCCAGGACGTGCTCAATAAACTTCAGGGGTAGCCTCTTCATCAGCATCATTCCTTTGCAGATTTCCCGGGATGCATGCTCCTTGAAGTCATGCTTTTGTGCTGGGTCACTCTGTCTTTCAGCAGTTCTGCTTTCATTTAATGTCTTTTCTCTGAGATGCATTCTACCATTCCAGTATAAATATTGTTACTGAATAGGTACTAGAAAGAATCATTAGCTTTTGTTGTATTTACCGTGTAGTAAGCATTGTGCTAAGTGCTTTATATGCATTATCTTATGTAATTTCCCATAAAGTGGCCTTAAGAGTATAGTCACCGTTACTATCAACAGATGAGGAAAAGGAAGCTCAGAAAGCTCTAGACACTTGCTCAGGATTACACAGCTAGAGGGACTGACATTTGAACCTCTTTGTCTGCTGTTACTGTTGGCCCCTTTTTCTTGATTTATTACTTCTCAGGTTTAGGGATTGTTTGCCTAAAACATCGACAATCAAAAAGCACACTGGAGTGGGGTAAGACCTCTGTACCACCTTCCACGAGTCCAGGCTCCTAGTCTCAGCTTTGCTTCTGCCTGTGGTGGGAGATCCATCCAGTCACCTGCCATCTGAGTCTCAGTGTTTTTACTGGTAAATGCAGGACCTTGGTCTGAGTGACATCTCTGAGGTCTCTTTCTAAGCCCCTGGTTCTCTGTGGATGTGTACATCAGGTGATGCACCAAGGAGCCTCTTCTGAAAGGAGTTAAACATTCTTATTTTTGCCAGAAGTATCAAACGCGTCTTGGTACCTTGTGAGTTCCCGGCTGACCTCGTCGGTGTTTTTTTATGTTGCCCAGGTACTCCAGGAGCAGATCCGTGCCCGGGACAACATTAGCTACGGAACTAATTCTGCCTTAAAGACCCTGGAGATGAGGCAGCTCTCTGGCCTGGGAGATCTCCGGGGAAGAGTGGCCAGGTGGGTAGTCAGGTATTTGTATCTCTGTGTATCAAGAGTGATTTTCCATCAACTTCATTTTAATGGGGAATACATTTATGAAGCGCCAAAGCAGTCTTTGTCTTCTAATACATTGTCTCCTTTGCCCATAAAATCTACTGGTGGAAGTTAGACCTTGTTTTGAGTAGCCCTGATCCAACTGTACTTCTGTAGTTGGAGCTGTGTGTATGGGAGGTGATGAGTGGAGGGCTCACTTGACCTGTGTTATTTGCTAGATTAATGTCATATTTATTCAGCCCAATAATATAATGTTGGAACCTATAGTTTGTGTGTCTTTTTTTGGAGGGGGGCGTTTTACCTATCTCATTTATTAGCTAAGATGATCAGGGCTAAGTGATTTTAAAAATTTTATTAATAAAGTAAATCTAACATCTATTTTTTCTTATTTTAAATTAATTTTTATTGGACTATAGTTGCTTTACAGTAGTTGGTGTGTCTTTTTAAAATTTCACTTTCTCTGAGCTATGGCAGAAATCAGCACAATATTGTAAAGCAATTATCCTTCAATAAAAAATAAATAAAATTTTTAAATCTTTCCATTATTCTTTTTTACTACCTTTTCCGAAAATATTGGTCCATGGTAGATTGTACACTTGAAAAAGAGACGTTTCCTCTAGGGTAGTAGGAAGAGTGCTGTTCCAGGGACTCACTACTGAAAAAGTGCCCCGTGGACTGACCAGCAGCGTCCCTGTCTCCGGGGCTTGTCAGAAATGCACAGCCTCCGAAGCATTCTCGGGCCTCTTGTGCCCTCTGCTGATATTAAGAGTCAAGCATGAGTGTACACGGGAGCCGTGGAGTGAACAGGCAATTTGAATCAGTTTGCCGTGAAAGTGAGGGCGGTCTGCAGGGTGGGGAGGAAAGGATCCAAGGTCTCTTTCGACCAGACAGGGTTTTAGGGGGTATTTGTGCCAACAAAACTTAAAGGACTCTGAATATTGGGCCTGTGAATTCAGGTTTGCTGGATGAACGTCAGTCTCATAGCAGAGGTCTCCTGGTTGCCACTTTTTTGTGATTTCTTTCCTCATCTGGGTGAACTCCAGTCTCTCTAAGGCCCTTGGTGACAGATGCCCCCTTGACCGCGTTATGTCTCTCTCCCCTTGCACTGTATTTTTCAGCAGTAATCAACTGCTTGTTATTCCCTGATTGGATCAGGCTCTCCTACATCTGTGCCTTTGTGCTTGCTGTTCTTATACCTGCCCTCTCCCCTTCTTTTCTAATTTCTAGTCAGCCTTTAAAGTTCAGCTTAAGTTTTACCTCCTCCAGGAAGTTTTCCCAGATCCCTTTCTCCTGAACTTACCTACCACTCTCTGTGCTGTTGAGTCTCTCTGTTGCCTTGGGGTGGATTACTTCATCTTTTTGTAACCTCAGTGCATAGAACAGTCTCTGGAAGACAACAGATACTCAATAAATGTTTATTTGGATGAATTAAAGATTTGGAAAATCACAGTTAACTGGAGCTTTTTTTTGTGGAGATCAGCTGAAAGGAAATCTCAGCTCAGTTATACCTCTCAGAATTGGGAGGATCTAACGAGCTTCAGAGCTGCAAGGCAGAGTAGGAACTTCAGAACTTTAGAAATTTTCCTAGCCACTTGAGTTGCAGATGAGGATTGAGTGAGGTGATATATGGAAGAGGCTTAGTGTGTACGTGAGATGGAGTGAATATAGAGCAGATAGGACCTGTTATTGTCTCAGGGGCAGTGGCCATGAAATTATCCTTGCAACACTGGTTCTAATTGCAAAATGGAGAAATTGTTTTGAAATACTTTCAGGAATTTTACATTTTTTCTCTGCAGTTTCTTATTAACGTCTCTACCTAGCTTGTTCCTTCTCTGTAACAAATGCTTTTACTCGGAAACAGTCAAAATAATGTGTTGTGAGCACCACATATTTTTGCTTTATTTTGTGGCTCTATTCATCTTTCTTCTGGAATGCTAATGAGACTTTGATTGTTGAAACAAACTCATGTGAAATAATTCCTTGGGAAAGTTTTAACTTTCTTGCATTAATTGTGTCATGGTGTTGAAAGACATGAACTCTTTAAGTGGTAGTCTTGGATTACCAGGCTGCAGTGTTATTTCAGGTTTTAGTCTATAGTGTTCATGGATCCACTGGTGAAGTAATTGATACGAAACAGACCCTGATACCTCCCTGGAGAGCCAGCAGGAAAGAGCAAAGATAATTCTCTATGGAAATGATAGACACCCTTACTTCACTAAGCAGAACACACCTGGACAGGACTCTCTCAGAGAGTTTCCCATTCTTCCCTAACCCAAAGCCTGGAGTCTAGCTTTTCTGTTCCTACTGAGACATTTGGTCCATTTTTTGGCTTACCATCTTTATTTGTCCAAGACTCAGTGGCTCCCTCCACTTTCTTCTCTGAGATCTGTTTGCTTGATATCAGAGTTTTAGAGGAAAAACACCTGTGTACTGAGGCAGGTGAGCAGGTTCCCTCAGATTGAGTCCAGGTGCAAAGAAAAAAAACAGATTGGACATCATCAAGTTAAAATTTTTTGGCTGTTACAAATAATGCCGTTATGCACATTCACATATGAGGTTGTGTGGTTATATGTTTTCATTTCTCTTGGATGTGTATACCTAGGAGTATAGCTGTTGAGTAATATGCTTTGTATATATTATAACTTTTATTAAAAACTGGATGTTTAGGTAGTATATTGTAGCAGTCCTGGAAGCTGATGCTCTTGGGCTTGTTTTTGTTTGTTTGGTTAAGTGACTTAGCTGGACTATGTTAGTGATGTCTGTTTCTCCCACAACATGAAGCCTCTCACGTCAGGATTGATGCCGATCCTCAGAGGCTGCACAGTCAGCCTGTGATGATAGCAGTTTTTGCAAGGCTCTCTGTGACCATCTCTTTCCTTCACATTTTGTTAAGCTGCCTGCCTCTGTTGGTGACACACCCAAATCTTAGGCTCCACTGATTCCTTGCAGATTGCTCTGTGTTTTTCTCTCCTGTTTGCTTAATTTTTTCTTCTTTGCAATTTAATCATTTTAAAAATTGCTTTTATTGTATTATTATACAACCTAGTATCCCCAATATATTTATTTTTTAAGTTGTAGTATAATTGATTTATAATATTATGCTAGTTTCAAATGTATAGCACAGTGATACATATATGTGTATATATATATATGTATATTTTTCAGATTATTTTCCCTTATAGATTATTACAAAATATTGAGTATAGTTCCCTGTGCTATACAGTAGGTCTTGTTGGTTATCTATTTTATATATCTCGGTGCATGCATGCTCGGTCATGTGGGATTCTTTGTGACCCCCATGGACTATAGCCTGCCAGCCTCCTCTATCCATAGAATTTCCCAGGCAAGAATATTGGAATAAGTTGCCATTTCCTTCTTCAGGGGATCTTCCTTACCCAGGGATCGAACCTGCATCTCTTGAGTCTCCTGCATTGGCAGGCAGTTTCTTTGCCACCTGAGTCACCAGGGGAGCCCTATTTATATATAGTAGTATGTATCCATTATGCTATACTGTTTTTGACAGTGTCCTAGGGTGTAAATTGCTGTATAGTCTGATTCAGTTAAATCATCACCAGCATTTAAGGGCTAATGATGTATACATATGATAATTATATATAACAATTACCATAACATGGGTGATGGGAAATCAGTGTTTTAAGTTTCATTGCCTTTGTTTTTTTCAACTTTACATTAGCTTTACTGCTGTTGGTTGAAAGAGATCAAACTGGAACTAGAGCTCATGCAAATGCCTTTCACTGCAATTTAATAACTAGCAGAAAGCAAAACCAACCCCCAAAACCCAAAGCACACTATCAGTATGTATGCATTCATGGGCATCTGGGAATTTAAGTTGATAATAGTCATATGATGTGTTTTTATATCATGAAACCCCTTTTATTTTTACTTTTTAAAAATTTTATTTATTTTTTTAATTGAAGGATAATTGATTTACAGAATTTTGTTGTTTTCTCTCAAACTTCAACATGAATCAGCCACAGGTATACACATATCCTCTCGCTTTTGAACCTCCCTCCCATCTCCCTCCCCATCCCACCCCTCTAGGTTGATACAGAGCCCCTGTTTGAGTTTCCTGAGCCATACAGAAAATTCCCGTTGGCTCTCTATTTTACATATGGTAATGTAAGTTTCCATGTTACTCTCTCCATACATCTCACCCTCTCCTCCCCTCTCCCCCCCTCTCCCCATGTCCATAAGTCTATTCTCTATGTCTGTTTCTCCACTGCTGCCCTGTAAATAAATTCTTCAGTACCATTTTTCTAGATTCCATATATATGCATTAGAATACAATATTTATCTTTCTCTTTCTGACTTACTTCATTCTGTATATTAGGTTTTAGGTTCATCCACCTCATTAGAACTGACTCAAATGCATCCATTTTTATGGCTGAGTAATATTCCATTGTGTATATGTACTACAACTTCTTTATCCATTCATCTGTTGATGGACATCTAGCTTGCTTCCATGTTCTAGCTATTGTAAATAGTGCTGCAGTGAACAATGGGATACATGTGTCTTTTTCAGTTTTGGTTTCCTTAAGGTATCTGCCTAGGGGTGAGATTGCTGGCTCATATGGTGGTTTTAGTCCTAATTTTTTTAAGGAATCTCCATACTGTCTTCCATAGTGGCTGTATCAGTTTACATTCCCTCCAACAGTGCAAGAGTGTTCCCTTTTTTCCACATCCTCTCCATCATTTATTGTTTGTAGCACTTATTTTTGATAATGGCCATTCTGACTGGTGTGAGGTGATTTCTCATTGTAGTTTTGATTTGCATTTCTCTAATAATGAGCGATGTTGAGTATTGTTTCATGTGTTTGTTAGCCATCTGTATGTCTTCTTTGGAGAAATGTCTGTTTAGGTCTTTTTCCCACTTTTTGATTGGGTTGCTTGTTTTTCTGGTATTGAGTTGTATGAACTGCTCGTATATTTTGGGAATTAATGCT